CCACTAACCGCTGCCCGGCGAGCGGCGGTGCCCGCCTAACAAGCAGCTGTGCCGCCGCCGCTGCCTCTTCTATCTCCCCCTCCCGGTCCGTCCGGCCCGGCCCGCCCCCCGCGGAGATGCTGCCGCTGCTCCGAAAAACCCTGGGGAGCGAGCAGCTGGCCACGGCGCTGGCCGGTGCTGAAGCTCAGGCTGTGACGGACGCTATTGACGCCGCCGCTGTCGCTGCCACCGGCGCCACTGTTGTTGTGAAGCCCCGACGCCGCCGCTCATTCCGCCATGTTGCCGCCCCCTGCCTGCGGTAGAGGCCACTGCGCCTGCGCACAGCCTCCGGGGGCGGAGCCCTCGGTGCACCCCCTCTTTTGCCCTGCCCTCCTTCTCTTTCCACCCACCCACCCCGACACCCCTGGTCCCTCCCCCCAACCACCCTGAACGGATAGACAGGTGAGCAGGTGCATGGGGACGGCTGCCAGACAGTGGGGCAAGCTGGCAGAGGTGGGGCGGGTAGCGGCTTCCTTGTGGCTTTTCCCCTGAGGGTGGACTCTCCCTGTGGGGAAGGACACAGTGTGCGTCCCTTCTTCGCTGCCACCTCCTCCTTCCCTCAGTATTCTCTGGCTAGGAGGAGGTTCATCGTCATCGTTGTTGCATCTGGCTACTGCTACTGCCAATGCCACGTGCCTTGTAAGGTAGGGGAGTGGCAGACGACCTCTTTCTGCCCCTCTTCGCCCTTCCTGTCAGTCCTACTCGCCTGCCCTCCCTAGAATTTCCCAAAGAAAAAGTGGCTGGCAAAGCGGAAACAGACGCCCCGAGGGGAACGATCCTGCATTGTCGGGGAAAGGATACAGATGGGTCTTTTTCTACAGCCCTGAAAAAGGCTGATACCTGCACACACGGGCACGACTTAAAATAGAACTTGTCAGATAGTGATCGTCTTTGGATCAAGCACGGAACAAAAAACAGCTCTTGAACTCACCTCCCAGCCCATAAAAGCTGCACTGTGTGACTCTGTGGGGTAGTTTGATGGGAACGACAAATCCCACACTTTAAAAATCCGTGAGGATTCTCAGGTATGATGCCGATTAATGATGCCTCCCTTTGTCATAGGCATGTACAGTTCAGAGGATTTTTGAAATTATCTGAAAATATGGGTGATTCTCACTGACAGCCTTGATCTGGGAGAAAACGTAGATTTCTGTGCACAAATACAGAAGCAAAAAAAATGCTTTTAATTTAAAAAAAATTTAAATGTACACAATAATGTTGCTGCTAGTATTGAATTAAAACTAAATAGACATGACTGCTGGTTTCTTTCTCGAAATGAAGGATGTAATTTTCTTTAATATTTCATGAGGTCTGCCCTTTTCAATAAAGATATATTACAAGCCACTAGAAATATTAGGTATCTTGAGGTATATTCAAATCATTTTCATTGTCATCTCAAATGGAGAAAGTCAATATACAAATCCATCATAATCTAGTGTGTTATTACTTGTGTTTAATTGGACCTGTTAGTCAAGTTAACTCCCAGGATATGGGAATTCGGTAAAATTCTAAAGTACCACAGGTTATAACGGAGTTCCTCAAAACCAGTGCCTATTATTAGTTCTTGGTTGTACGTGTGTTTCTTAAACTTGCACCGAGGTGATTAAATTATCAAAGTAGTTAAGCAAAAATTTCTGAAAGAAATAGTAATTCGTATGTATATATAAATTAAATAGCAATTGAATTATAAAATACCAGAGTGGTTGAAACTGTATGGGAAATTTGCAAAACATGTAAGTCTTAACAGTGTGAATTGAGATACATAAATTGAAAAATCCTGTGACATCTACAGCACTTTTGTCTATCCCAAGTGATTATCTTCTACTTTTATAAGCACTATTTCGTTTGCAAACTTAAAATGACATATCTTTTTAAAACATGTACATCCAAACTGAACGGTCCTTACACTAGGACCTTTTAAAAGCCCACTGTGCATATATATGGCAGCAGGTTCTACCTCTTGCTATTTTTAGACTTCTTTCATGAGCACTTTGAGAGACAGTGGCAATCTGAACTTTCTATAATAGCTTAACATCATTCTAAATTTCCATTTTAATTTTCCCTGTTTTGTTTCTTAAACAGTGCGTGTATGCATTTGCTTTTGTTTTTCTTGCTTGTTCATTTTTCTTTAGTGGAGATAGGGAGTGAGTAAAGAAGTTATCACTATTCAAATAAGGAAAACCCCACTTCTTTTGTATACTTCATTCAATTTCAGAGATATTTAAAACAGCTTACAATTAAAAAGCATTCTTCAGTAGACTGTCAGCTCCTGGCAAGTAGTATGGTACTTTGAAAAATACATGGAGCTTTCAGTCACACTCACAATTTACTACCTGTGCAGTCTACTTGAGCTTCAGTCTCCTCATTCATTAAACAGGAATGATAATACCTGTTCCATAGTGAGAATTCAATAAAATAATTTCACCTCAGCAGCTAGCAATATAGTATATGTGTCTTTGTATCCTTAGCATGTGGCACAATGTGTGTTGAATGACCTATAAACACATGCAATACCAATTATAACCACATACAAGTATGCATAATTTCACAGTTGTATGTTTTCAATACCATCCCCAAAATCATATAGTTTAGAAAAGACAGCAGGTCTCTTTCCTTTTGGCCTAAAAAGCCTATTTTCCTGCAATGTACAAGTAACTTAGTGTATGCATTAACAATATTTTGAAATAAAAGATAGCTACATAATAATAGAAGTCACCTAAAATGTTTATTTTTTTAAATCTCCAGTATAAAAAAAATTTTATGTGGTGAATATTAGTTTTGTATAAATTCTTGCAAACCCATACTTCCAAAGGACAGCCCTTCAAAGATAAGAAGCCCATGAATCTGAGTTTCAAGAGTCAGTAAAGCACAATGATTGTGAACACATGCTTCAGATTCAGTGGAACCTGGATTTGGATTCCAGTTCCACCACCCACTTATATGTGTGATATCGGGCAAATGACTTAGCTTCAAAGCCCAGTTTACCTAACCCAAAGTAGGTATCGTACTATCTAGGATTAAAGGAGCTAATGCATTTAAGGTACTTAATGTAGTAGCAGGTGTCAATCAATAAAGTTTCCCTTCACTGGCTGTGGGAAAAGACCATGTTGTAGTTATTTTTGTGTTTTCAGCACCTAACATGCCTGGCTTGTAATTTACATTCAATAAAGGTGTTCAAAAATGAATGGATGAAAACAGCAGTTCTGCAAGCTAAATATTTCCATTCCCCTTTAAAGAACAGGTTTTTTGCTTTCCTCTAAACTTGATCTGAACAGAATACTTCAAATTCTGCATATGTTTGGACCAGTATAAAGCAGAGGGAAACTCTTTTTTTTTTTCTTTTCCAGAGGGAAACTCTTACCTCAGCCTCAGTCTTTGGAAATACGACTCCTGTTAATGTACCCTCACATCAAATTAGGTCAGTTCGATTTGATTTGGTTTTGGGTTTTTCAGCAGCATGACACTAATGATTAACGTAATGCACTAATGATTCCTGTTTGGCGTGTAGCGGGTTCTCAAATAATTTTGGTTCCATTCCCTCTCATGTTGAAATTATTATCAACCTGAAAAGCCAAGGGTTTTTGTTTGGTATTTTTTTATTTTGTTTTGTTTCTAGACATCCTGCATATCTCCAATATGTAGCTTTTCATGAAGATTTTGATATAATGTGTAGAATTGTATGTATTTATTTAAATTTAAATTTTATTTCATTCAAATTTTTATTTAACTTTCTATTTAAATTTTATCTGCTAGAAATTTCTCAATCCTGATTGTATCATGCAAATAATTTATTGTCTTATTCTTATTATCTTATTATCTGCAAATTTGAGAACATTTCGTCTATATCTTCATCCAAATATTTGATTGCGTAGAATAAAAACAGCTCAGTAGTTACTAGTAACATTCCTGTTGAAATCAATTCACATTTTTCAAAACAAGGGTCTTGACCCATTAGGGAGTCATTAAATTGATTTAGTAGGTTGCAACCAGCAATTTTTTCTAATGAAATAAAATACAAACACACAGAATGGGAAGTAATCAAAATACACCCATTTTGTAAGAAAAGTTACTGTTTTATGAAATTTTATACACACACATATATATAATATACATACACTTACTAGATAATGATGTAAAGTATATTTCTTCCTGCAAGTTATGGTTAAGAAGTTTTGAAAACTACTGATTTTAGTTACTTATAAGCACTGTTTAGTGTAACCATTCAACTATTAATTAGCTACCCCTCCGTGCTAACAACTAGCTCATATTTCTCTAACTTGTCCAAAGGATATCATAAGGGACCTTGATGACTGGCTAGCTGAAGTCAGGATATACTCTGTCTCTGTTTCTGAGCAAAATTTAATGAAAATATGTAGATGTGAATTATCATTATCAGTTTTGGTGATATTAAGCTACTTGCTGTGGATTTTTAAGAATTTAACTCCCTCTGCCTTTAGCTCTTCAATCCTCTGACACTTCTATTTCTCTGTGACTCGTCAAAGACCATTAAAAGTTGCTTGGTAATCTAGTTTACTAGTTTTCAGATTCTTTCTGGATCAATGGATATAACTTGTCCTACCTTGGAGACTTGAAGTCGTTTAGACTATCTAGGTATCTTAAGTTCATCAAATTTAAACTTCAGAGGCCGGCCGGGTGGCGCACTGGAGAAGTGCGCTGCTTGGGAGTGTGGTGGCGCTCCTGCCGAGGGTTCAGATCCCATGTGGAGACCGGTTCCCGCTCACTGGCTGAGCACGGTGTGGGCGCAACACCGAGGGTTGCGATCCCGTTGCCGGTCCCCGGTATGGGCACGACACCGCGGGTTGCGATCCCGTTACCGGTCACGAAGAAAAAAAAAGACAAAAAGGAAAAAATAAAATTTAAATTTCAGTTTCCTCCAACTATTAGTTCTATCTTTTTTTGCTCTTCTCCTGAACAGAGAACACAGAAACAAAATAAAAAATTGATATTCAGTAACTACTTTGATCCAATTTTGGAATGGCTAGAATGTTGATGCTAACCAATCAACAAATACTTGAGTGCCTACTCTGTGTGAAAAACTAGCCTAGTTGAAATGGATAATTGCACATATTCCATTTAGAGAAATACTGTGTTTATACATGGAAAATTAATCAGCAAGTCAATACATGAAAAATGTCAAATGAATAGTACAAAAATAATAAGTACTCTGGAATTTCAAAAGATCTAGAGATCATACAAATATCCTAATGCACACATATATTCTCAAACATCACATAAATATACACACAATTGCACCACATAGACATACCTTAAATTAGATGCACTTCTGCACATTCTTCCTGGCAATATGTCAAGCATGCCTCCTATTCTTTTCATTCTCACTGCCAGCATACTGATTCAGATCCTAAACACTTCATACCTTCATACCTGGTCTCTTTTTCTCCACACTCACCTTTTTTCAGTTCATCCTTACATGGATAATCTTCCTAAAGTTCCACCTAGATGCACAGATTCATGGTTCAGAATTTTTCTTTATTAATCTCAATAGCTTCTACATACATACATGTCATCTTCTCAAAACATCACCAATATTCTCTTTTGCCTGACAAATTAAGCCCAGAGTCCTTATCTTGGCACCAAAGGCCCTCAATACTCATGCTTACTTTCTACTTTTTACCTCCTTCTGTTCCTTACAGGAACTCTATACTAAGGGTCCCCAACTTTTTGGTGTGTACCTCTTTCTCAATTGAGAAAATACACAGTGATGAACAGCTACTTTCAGGTCAATGATGCTATTTAAATTATTTTTACTTTTTAGAAATCACATGTCTACATGTATTTGAAACACATATACACACACTATTGTGGTTTGAATTGTGTCCCCCAAAAAGATATGTTCAAGTCCTAACATCCAGTGCCTGTGAATGTGACCTTATTTCAAAATGAGGTCTTTAATAAGTGTTACTCCGGCCCATCTACCAAGTGACACAAAAGGCTGCTAGTTTTGATTGGGGCCCAGAGCAAGAGAAGGCTCTGCAACAGGTCCAGGCTGCTGGGCAAACTGCTTTGCCCCTTGGGCCATATGATCCAGCAGATCCAATGGTCCTTGAAGTGTCAGTGGCAGATAGGGATGCAGTATGGAGCCTTTGGCAGGCCTCTATAGGTGAATCACAGCAGAGACCCTTAGGATTTTGGAGCAAGGCCCTGCCGTCATCCACAGATAACTACTCTCCTTTTGAGAAACAGCTCTTGGCCTGCTAATGGGCCTTACTAGAAACTGAACGCTTGGCTATGGACCACCAAGTTACCATGTGACCTGAGCTGCCCATCATGAACTGGGTGTTATCTGACCCAGCAAGTCATAAGATTGGGTGTGCACAGCAGCACTCGATCATCAAATGGAAACGGTATATACGTGATCGGGCCCGAGCAGGTCCTGAAGGCACAAGTAAGTTACGTGAAGAAGTGGCCCAAATGCCCATGGTTCCTACTCCTGCTACGCTGCCTTCTCTTCCCAGCCTGCACCTGTGGCCTCATGGGGAGTTCCCTGTGATCAGTTGACAGAGGAAGACAAGGCCAGAGCCTGGTTTACAGATGGTTCTGCACGATATGCAGGCACCACCTGAAAGTGGACAGCTGTGGCACTGCACCCCTTTTCTGGGATACCCCTGAAGGACAGTGGTGAGGGCAAATCCTCTCAATGGGCAGAACTTCGGGCAGTGCACTTGGATGTGCACTTTGCCTGGAAGGAGAAATGACCAGATGTGCGATTATACACTGATTCAAGGGCTGTAGCCAATGGTTTGGCCGTGTGGTCAGGGACATGGAAGGAACATGATTGGAAAATTGGTGAGAAAGAAATTTAGGGAAGAGGTATGTGGATGGACCTCTCAGAGTTGGCAAAGGATGTGAAGATATTTGTTTCCCATGTGAATGCCCATCAAAAGGTGACCTCAGCAGAGGACTTTAATAATCAGGTGGACAGGATGACCCATTCTGTGGATACTAGTCAGCCTCTTTCTCCAGCCACTCCCGTCATCGCCCAGTGGGCTCATGAGCAAAGTGACCAGGGTGGCAGGGATGGAGGTTATGCATGGGCTCAGCAACATGGACTTCCGCTCACCAAGGCTGATCTGGCTACAGCAACTGCTGAGTGCCCAATCTGCCAGCATCAGAGACCAACACTGAGCCCCCGATATAGCACCATTCCCTGGGGTGATCAGTCAGCTACGTGGTGGCAGGTTGATTACATTGTACTGCTTCCATCATGGAAGGGGCAGCGTTTTGTCCTTACTGGAATAGATACTTACTCTGGATATGGATTTGCCTTCTCAGCACGAAATGCTTCTGCCAAAACTACCATCCATGGACTCATGGAATGCCTTATTCACCGTCATGGCATTCCACACAGCATTGCTCCTCTCCAAGGAACTCACTTCACAGCTAAAGAAGTGCGGCAATGGGCTCATGCTCATGGAATTCACTGGTCTTACCATGTTCCCCATCATCCTGAAGCAGCTGGTCTGACAGAACGGTGGAATAGCCTTTTGAAGTCACACTTACAGCACCAGCTTGGTGCCAGAACCCTGCAGGGCAGGGGCAAAGTCCTCCAGCAGGCTGTATATGCTCTAAATCAGCACCCAATATATGGTACTGTCTCTCCCATAGCCAAGATTCACAGGTCCAGGAATCAAGGGGTGGAAATGGAAGTGGCACCACTAACCATTACCCCTAGGGACCCATTAGCAAAAATTTTGCTTCCTGTCCCCACAACTTTATGCTCTGCTGGTCTAGAGGTCTTGGTTCCAGAGGGAAGAATGCTTCCATTAGCAGATACAGAAATGATCCCATTGAACTGGAAGTTAAGGCTGCCACCTGGCCACTTTGGGCTCCTCATGACTCTGAATCAACAGGCTAAGAAAGGAGTTACTGTGTTGGCTGGGGTGACTGACCCAGACTACCAAGGGGAAGTTGGACTAGTACTTCACAATGGAGGTAAGGAAGATTATGTCTGGAATATAGGAGATCCCTTAGGATGCCTCTTAGTACTACCATGCCCTGTGATTAAGGTCAATGGAAAATTACAACAACCAAATCCAGACAAGACTACAAATGGCCCAGACTCTTCTGGGATGAAGGTTTGGGTCACTCCACCAGGTAAAGAACCATGACCCGCTGAGGTGCTCTCTGAAAGCAAAGGGAATACAGAATGGGTAGTAGAAGAAGGAAGTTATAAATACTAGCTTCGACCATGTGACCAGTTACAGAAATGAGGATTGTAATTGTTCTCCCTGTTGTGTTAAGAATATGTCTCTATGTATATATACTGTACACATATTAAGCAATTATCTTTGTTTTTGTTCCTCTTGTACCATGAGATTTACTGACTTTATACCAGCATTTAAATGTTGTTAACCTTACTTCATAGTATTTGCAATT